CCTAATTAAATAAAATTGGCAGGATGAAACACTTTAATAATTTCTTTTCAAAATTGGAGCCAAACCATATGATAGACTGGGAACCTACTGAGGTTCGCCTCAGGATCTGTGGCTTCCCCTAATTTCTCTTCATTTGGATTCCTTAACAATGTTCCAGATTTGAGCTTTTCCCGCTTTACACCTCTTTGTTCGATTTCGTTGTAAAGTCCTATTCTTTTGACCTCTTTGAAGACATTATTCCCTGATTTTTATCGAGAGTTTTTTTAGGTGACTTCGGTCATTTAAGATTTCGTCCGATTTCGTTGAAAAGTCCTATCCTTTTGACTTCTTTGAAGACATTATTCCCTGATTTTTATCGAGAGTTTTCTTAGGTGAATTCGGTCATTTAAGATGTAATTAACTATAGGAAGCTTTTCCGAACCCAGCTTAAAATAAACCCTATTTAATTATTTGTATTAAATAGGGGAACTTGTCGCCAAAAAAACGGTTTCGCAGACCCAAACGGATGTCATATGTTTTCCTAGTTTATTTGATTGAGCTTCGTCCTCAAGTCATGTGTTTACCCCTCGGGATAAATACAGGAATTGAGGTAGAGCGCTCTTTCATTTAAACTGTGAAAAATAGAAGGTCAGTTTGATTTCATATTTTTCTAAAATTTATATATACGTAAATTAAAACGTCCTTCCGAAGCGGGCGATGGGATTTAATTCCGGCTGCCGACAGCTTCTTACGGGCGACCCCCCCCCAAAACAACCTTTCTTTCTTTTAAGTGCCGACAGCCTCGTAAGGTTGATAGTCCTACGCTTGCTGTCACCAGATATTTTGTGACTTGTGTGTTAGTTGAGAGGGATATCACTCAATCAGCTCCGGATGAGATATGAATTGGAACCACTCATAGCTGTTATTGACAAAAGGTTGAAATAGAACCACACCATTCTTATTGCTCTCATTGCAGTATGTTTGCCCACAACTCTATTATTCTCTATCGTTTGCATCCTTATATAAGTCCGGATATTGTTAAAGATCAGCCACCTATCATTCTTGTAGAGAATACGCAACCCGATCATCTTTCCAACACCGCAGTTCCTGACGAAGGACACCATACTACAACTACAGATCCAGTTGTGCTTATACCACTCATTGTTATTGAAGTAGACTCACTTACATGCCAAGACACACAAGAGTACTCTTTTAACCCAATAACAGATCAGTCGGTCCAACACGTAATTGCTTCTAATGTTCAACAAACTGCACATTTCCAGCACACTTTAGATCAAGATCAGGTGAGTCAAACCTTCAGATGAGGAATGACAAGTCTATTCTAGGAGGAAGAAGAAGAATGGAGGCCGACTCCATCTCGGGAACATATTGGATGATACATTGGTTACTACTGAAAATAACAATCATCTTACCAACATATTAGCTTGCTCATTCCCTAGAACTACAGGCAGAAGAAAGACCAAATTGGATCGCTCTCTAACCACCTGATATTTTGTATTTCGGCACTTTTAGACTTTTTCTTTAAGACTCTAATGTACTTTTCTGTATTTTTTAGTTTTGGAACCACTTGTGATTTTTGTGTGAGTGGGGTACCATGCTTGGGCCCTGCCACACATTGTATCTGTATTTTTTTTTCTAGTTAATATATTAGCCTTTTTGGGTTTTAATATATATATAGACGTATATAACGATTAACTCATTAAAAAGTAAAAAAATAAATAAATTATCGCTTACAAAAGTATGACAAACTTTAACTCTACTTGGCTTCGATGAATAGAAGCTTCAATGCAAGCATCGCAAAGTTCGTGGGGCATTAAGATTGGCTTCTACGAGTACGTTCGATTTATGCTCAGATTGAGATAAAGAAGCTTATGACTTCTACTTTAGCAAGTGCAGGTTCGGCTTTAATGAACAAAAGAGAACTATTGATGCTCGGTTTTGATGAATATTGTATGCACCTTCGTTTCTTGTTTTTAACAAATATTAGAGGGAGCTGATATGACAAGTGAGGAGGTGGCTTCAACTATAAGATATAATTAGCGCTATAGGTATATTTATAATTTTCTACTTTTGGTGTCCTGTGTTTTCTAAAATCAAGTTGAGCTCATATTTGATGCGGTGTTGAGAGGTATTCCTGATGTATTCGAGCCTGAAAAAATTCAGACATTTTGGGTGTCGGACAAGTGTTGTTGTCTGGTATGTGCCCGACACGGTATGACATATTCTTAGAATTTACTATATTGTCTTCAACTCGGGTAAGGTTTAGCTGCTCCTCTAGGTTCAAAACAAAGAAGCTGGTTTCTCAGGATTTCTACTTCCAGCCCTTGGTCATGCTAGAATATATACACATTTTTTTGGCTCCTGTAGGACATGCGGTGTAGTTAATAGGAAGCAATGGGTAGATGGCTTTTGTAATAAGGTAACTTTTATTAAAATTTATTAATACAATAAAAACAACAGAGAGCCTAGTTACAAGATCTTCAATTGTGAATTTCTTTCTTCCAAGAAGCTGTAACCCGTGAAGTTCTGATTGAATCTTAAAAGTCAGTTTTCGAAGTCTTGATTGGATTGTTTCCAGGTCGCAATAAATCCTACCCACTGCTATGGTTATTGGTAATGCCGCCGAAGATTGTTTGTTTTAGCATGGTTAAAATTTGTTTTAGAAATATCAAGTGATTGCTTATCATCGCTCAAAGTTTTAGTCTTTTGGGTTAAAAAAAGATTTAGCATTACTTTTTCTACTCTAATTTTGTTTTTTTTTTTTTTGTAATTTCTTGTTGAACAGTATAGCTATGTGTAAATAATTGTTTTAGTGTTTTTCAACTTTTACATCCTTTGACAGTTTGTACTGATGCTCGTGGGATAAGGTGGGTGGACGATAGCAAAGCCACCAATGTTGAATCGACATATACTGGACTGCTAAGTCTCAAAGATCACAAGTCAATCGTCCTTCTTGGGGGTCTTGCTAAGGTTATTTGTTTTTTGCTTGAATTAGCGATTTGAATTTTATTAATGGTTTCCCTCAATAGTTGTTGGGCATTAGATTAAAAGGCTCTTTGGTTGCAAGTAGGTTTTAGTTTAATCCTGATTTATGAAATCCTAATGTGGTTAATCCTAAAAACTGTTTGGCATGTTAATAAATAAATTATGAGAAATTGTTTGACAGCTTTATAAGGATTTAGCAGGATTTATTGGAGTAAATATTCAAATATAAATAAAATCCAGAAATTAACCTTCACAAAAAAAAATTGAATTTATCTTGCTGAGTGATTAAATTAAAAAAATACGAATGAATATCTAAAGCATCAGTGTGCATAAAAAGAGGCATTTATATTAATTAGTAATTAATTATTATAAATTAATAATTAATGATTTTTCAAAACTAACTATTTACTAAACAATAATTTAACATTAATCAATTATTAATTATATAAATTAAGAATTATTTAGAATTTTATTAAATAATTTATATTTTAAAATGTATTTTTATTCATTAATTAACTATTAAATGTTTACATATAACTTTATCATTAAATGTTTACATATAACTTTATTTAATTATAATAAATTTGGTCATATATGAATTAATTATTCTCCCATTTTTCTTATCCATCCTCTCAGCCACTACCAGAAGCCATAGTGGAAGGTAAGTCTGTTCGCGCCATTCTTCCTCTTCACTTATCTTGGATTTACTAAACCTGTCGATTCACAGGACTTAATAAGTCCTAGATTTATCGAGAATCGATGTAATTTCTACTACGGAAGCTATAGATTTATTGAGAGTTTTGATGGAGTAGTGCATAAAGAAAAAAGAGGATTTACATATGATTTTTATTGATTTAGAAAAGGCTTATGATAAGGTTCCAAGAGATATCTTTTGGAGAGTTCTAGAGAAGAAATGTGTTGATATGACTTATATTCAAGTTATTAAAGATATGTATGCTAGAGTTGTTACTTGTGTTCAAATAGGAGGACTGACTAAATATTTTCCTATTTCAGTTGAATTACATCAGGGATCAGCTTTAAGCCTGTATCTTTTTGTTTTAGTTATGGATGCTCTTATTGAACATTTATAGGAGGATGTGCCTTGGTGTATGCTTTGTGCTAATGATATCCTTCTTGTGGATTAGACTAGAGAAATAGCTCGGGAAAAAACTTGAATTATGGAGTTCTACATTGGAGTCTAAAGGCCTTGGTTTGAGTAGAATTACAACTAAATGCCTGGAATGTAATTTTAGTAGTAGTAGTCTTGTGAAGAGTTGTAATTATGGGTGATCACATTATTAAAAGGTGTGAACACTTTAGATATCTTTGATCTATTGTTCAAAGTAATGGTGATATAGATGGGGATGTTATTAGTAGAATTCAAGTTGGTTGGTTGAAGTGGAGGAATGCTTCGAGCATATTGTGTGATAGTAAAATACAGCTTAGACTGAAAGGGAAATTTTATAAGATGGTGGTGAGACCTATAATGCTCTATTGACGCATAATGTTGGCCTTTAAAAGAGAAGCATACAATTACGTTAACTCTTGCCGAGATGAGAATGCTTAGGTGGAAGAGTGACCTTACACTTAGAGACAAAATGTGAAATGAATATATCCGTGATAGGGTTGGTGTAGCTCCTTTGGCGGACAAAATTAGAGAAAGTCGTCTTAGATGGTTTGGTCACATTAAAAATCGGGCATCTGATGATCTGGTTAGAAGAGTGGATGTTTTAGATTCAAATTATGTTAATAAAGGCAGAGGTAGATCTAAAAAGACTTGGGCATATTGTATAAAAAATGTTCTTAATTTATTAGAATTAAATGAAAATATAGCATTAATCAGGACACAATGGAGAAAAAAGATTCATGTAGCTGACCACACTTTAGTGGGATAAAGGTTTGTTGTTGTTGGCTAAATCCTGCATAAATCCTATTTAAAATCAGCTACCAAACAGCCTCTAAATTATTAATTGTATCAGTTTTAGTTAGTGCGGGTTATGGGGTGAGTTTTATGGGGACGGCCTTACCCTGTACTGTAGAAGAAAGCCGATCAGTGCTCCAAAGGCGCCCTTTTAAAGACTAAACGCATTTCTTAATGCAAATGCATTTTTTTTGGAAGTAAACTTTTTGAAAAATATTATCAACTTTGGAGCAGCTTATGTGATTGGAACTAATTTTTTGCTGATACAACACTGATTTATCAAAGTAGCCGAAGCAGTTTGATTTATAAGTTAAAATTTTGGTTTTAAAGATCAAACTCAATGTTTTAGTCTATTGTCTCATGGCCGACAAGCTGAGCATGTGCGCCTCTGAATAGCCTTAGCGTGTCTCCAAAATGTGTAGGAGACACGACAATCTATACAATTTCTTATTTTTATAAAATTGAGCTTTGACACGAGAAGGGTGCAGTGGGACACGAGTGGGCACAACAAGGACTTAGATGAGTGCCCTTGTAATAAAAAAAAAATATTATTAATCTTACTTGGATCTTTTTATCTTTATAAAGTTTTTGAATGAAATATGTTTCATCATGTGATGTTGCCACCTATATTTCATATTAATAATTTATTAAATATAATTAAAGTGTCAGTCTCTGTGCTTCATAGCGAACAAGATTACTAATTTACTTTTTTTTTTGTTTATGTGGCTTTTTGTCTCCGTTTATGCAATTTACTTATTTTTTCACTTAATTGATTATTATTTAGCATGGACTAAATTACTTAAAATACTATTTTCCTTTCATTGTGCTATTATCCTCCAGATCCTAAATGGTGAAGGCTGTAATGGATTTGAACAACTCGTGGAACTTCTTGAGCACCACAGAGCTGTCATAACTGTAAGCAATTGTTCTTCATTCTCAATCACGAGGGTTTGTTCTGCAAATTTGGTAAATTTTTAAAATGAAGGATACATTTCCAGTTTGGATTTTCCGGGGAGATGATCTATAGGACCTTATGCAATGCTGGCCTTAGCATCCCTTGTATCAAAGCTACAAATCTGGAAGATGCTGTTAAACATGCAAAGAGCGTTGCAGTGAAAGGTATGTTTATCTAAAAACGGCATTTCTCTCCATGTGGAACAGTTCGGTTCACTAATAAGAGTTCAAAAGTGATTGCACCTGACTGCTGGATTTGAGTTTTTAAGTGTTTATTTGGTTGAAATTGGAGGGGATTGAGTTCTTATTCTTTGGACTTCCTATCAATCTTGAGAGCTAAAGAGTCACCTTTAGTTTTGGTTTTTTTATATATATTAAGGTAATATTAATTTAATATTATGATGAGTAGAAATATTACTTGCGCTAGAGTGATGAGCAAATTTTGTGTGAGTGATAAAATGAAACTCACTATATCTTAAATAACAAGAAAAGTGTCGAGATGGTACTTTGACTCTTTACATGGGGTTATTTTAATCTCAAGAGTTATAATAGTGCTAATTTAGTCCTCAAATTTCTTAACGAGGACTTCAACCTATATTAAAAGAGGGCGGGTGACTAATTTGACACTTTTATAGACTGTCGGGTTAAAATGACCCATATAAATAGTCAGGGAACTATTTTGGCATTTTGCTCCTCAAATAACACACTAATTGATTCACATGTAGCTCGTTCTTGAAATTAAAAAAATTTACCTCACAAATAATTTTCCAAACAGCAAGAAACATCCTGGAATTTCTAAAATTCTTAAAATTTGAATGCTTAAGTTTGCCTCACAAATATCATTGAGTAACTGACTTCGTGTTTTTTGTTCTTGTTACTAATAAAATCAATGTGAGATATGTGAGAAGGAAATTTACATCCGTGCCACGCAATTCTTATGTGTTTGCTTATCTTACATCTAAAGTTTGATATTTACATCTATAACGCTTTGATGCTATCAACCTATGGATAGAAAGTCTGCATTTTACTTTTAAAAAGTTAATAAAAAAGTTATTTTTGATGCGGCATTAATGATTTGTGTGTTATTAATGTAAATATTAAAGTTTTGGTGTTAGATATGTAAATACATAATAATTTGTGGTATATGTAAATGCCCTAAAAGGGAAATGATAGAGCCAACGTCAAACAATTCCTTGTTTATGATGCAGGTGATGTGATTCTGCTAAGCCCAGGCTGTGCTAGTTTTGATGAATTCAGAAATTTTGAGCACCGAGGAGAAGTGTTTCAAGAGCTAGCACTCTCTTCCTAGGCTGGAATCAACTTCCACCTGCCCTAAATTTTTGAAATCATGTGAGACTCATGCCACCGGTTTTGGCTGATTCTAGTTGCATTTTTTTGCATTTCATGCTTGTTTTATATTATTATTTAATTATTCTGCTCTTTGGTTTGGAGTGCAATGGTTTGCTTATTATCTTATTTAAGATTGGCTTCTTTTTTAGTGTAAAATGGAAAAAAATACTACATCAGTACTACACATGTAGAGTAACGTGCGTAGCCATTGAAATCACGCCACGACACCCCACAAGACAGAAAAAAATGGCGCGGTAACACGAAGAATATTCCCCGTGTGATTCCCGACAGAGAAAAAAGTTGCGCAGTAACACGGGGGAATATTCTCCCCCGTGTTATTCATGTGCTATTGATGTGTTATTGTGTTATTATAACACCAAGAATATTTCCATGACACAATAACACATGAATAACACGGGGAATATTCCCGACAGAGAAAAAAGTTGCGCAGTAACACGGGGGAATATTCTCCCCCGTGTTATTCATGTGCTATTGATGTGTTATTGTGTTATTATAACACCAAGAATATTTCCATGACACAATAACACATGAATAACACGGGAAGGGGGGGATATTCTCTATGTTACTGCGCCGTTTTTTTTTTTCTGTCGCGCAGGGTGTCGTGGCGTGATTTCATTAGCTACGCACGTTACTCTACGTGCGTAATACTGATGTAATATTTTTCTCATAAAATGACTTTAGTTTATTATATGATGTATTTTGCTTTTTTACTATTGTAGGTGATTAGAAGAAATGTTGATTATAATTTATGCAATTTTTTGTTTATAATTTTTAATCCTGATCTTTAATATATATATATATATATATATATATATATTATTTCTCCATGTTGTCTAAATTTTACATGGACAAACCAAATTAACCTTATTTTTCATTTTATCATTTTCTGATCCTACCATGGTGCCTCTCTAAACCTATTTGCATTGACCATGGTTTTGAAAATCAGCAAGTCAGGTTAAACCAAATGATGAAATAATAGTATAAAAATGATATTTTTATTGATTTAATATGCAATATTCTAATTTAAGATATTTTACTTTTTTATTTAGAAATTGTTTTCAAATCAAAATCATAGGATATAACTATTTAATCATCCTTTTTCTTTTTATTATTATTTTTTTTAATTTTTAGCCATGAGATTAAAGTAATCAAAGAATAAAAAATTGGACAATGTTAGAAAAGGGTGATTTTTTAATAGTTAGACTAGTTGAGTTGCCAGTTTTGTCCAAAAGATTTATTTGGATTTGGATCCGAGGCAGTCGAACGGTTAGTTCGCAATTGTATCGATTAGATGGGTCGGTCTAGCTCAATTTTTAAAATCATGGTGTCATCTTTATCTTTTGTCAATTGTTACTTTTCACTTCAATTTAAGTTATTTTACTCGAAATCATACCCAATGATAGAGCTACTAATGACAAAACTGCACTTCCCCATTTTTGGCATAGTGTGATCACATTAGGCCTGGCATGAGCACCCCCAAAGTTTCTCAGCATGGTCATGCCAGACCTAGGCGTGACCACACCTAGGTATAACTGGAGTGACCACTCCGCGTGGTCACTCCCAATGACATACCACCGATCTGTGACCTTCGTCCACAGATCTGAGCACGAGCTATCATTTTCTTTCACTGGCAGCGTTCCATGGCTCTTCCAACCGTCGGATTCATTGTGTCAGCTGACTTGCTACCTAATTAAACGACCATGGAGTGCTTTGCCACAACCTTCCCAGCTTAAAATTAGGCAGTCTCCAACACTCTATGAGGCATGCATACAGACCCAAACATCTAATCTTTGCGTTCTCCACTGCTCCGAGAAAGAAGTGGAAGAAAGTCCTGTCGAGCCTCCTCCTCCTTTGTTTAGCCTCCTTTATGGTAAACTCTCTGAATTTCACTTTTAAATCAAGAATTTAATTTCCTAACTTAGGTTCAGCCTAGTCATCTCAAAAGCCTTGGATTATGCTTGGGGTTTGGATTCGGTTCGGGTCAACCTAAATCCATCCTGGCTCTAACCCACTTAAACTCAAATTTAACTTAACCCCATAACTAAAATAAATCAATGGTTGTTGCTCTTTTAGGGATAACAAACCCAATAATTAAAATAAATCATATCTTACACACAGGAGGTAGAGGAAAAACTAATTTTGTAGCCCCATGGAATAGTGAAATAATTACTTTGTGATTGGTTCCATTGTAGGTAGTATTTTTATCCCTTGGAATAATATATTATGCATGAATGTCATATTATCACAAGTGAGAAACTTCAAAAATTTTGTGTAGTCCACAAACAAGACGACGAAAGCACACACCTACACTTGATAATAGGGTGTAATGACTGCAAGACTCAATATTGATTAATAAAAAATTATCAAAGACATACAGTAATGGTTGTATATGTCGAACATCAGTCTTTTTTTGTGTGAATGATAATAATTATTAGACTTAATGAATGTGTAGATCTTATGATTTTAAATTTGAGAAATCTATCCACCCAAGATTCCTTTCACCTATATAATGAGTGTCTAATTACAATTTTTATGCAGTATTTTTAATTATTTATAAAATTCTCAATACACTATCAAATGACTCAGATGATCCCCTCAAAATTAGATTTTTTTTTAACTTTTAAGCACCATAAATGACATCTAAATTAAAAAATCATTGATTTGTTAAATTTATCTAAACAATGTGCTCATTCCAACCATAAATTTACCCAAAAAAAAAGTTCAAATGGTCTTAAAATCTATTCTAAAATCTCTTATTTAAAAGCTTACAGATATCTATATGCTTGATTAAATAGATTTTTATATGATGTACCATTCATAATATAATGAATTTTGCAACAATTGAATGTATATTATAAGACAACAATGCCATTTTACTTAGGACATCAAATATATGAGATATATGTTGTTAGAAAATGAATTCCATTATAAAAGGATAGAGTTTAGATTTATTAATTGATCTTGCTTCAATAAAGAGTAAAAGCCATGATAGAATCTTATAACATTAAGGAAGCATTTAAATTACATAAATATGCAAAATGTTGTTGAGCCCAATCAAATTCATATATGTATAAATGTTTACCTTATTTTTCCGAGCTTGGATGAATGTCAAATACTTTAGATGCCCATAAAAAAATGAGAGTGCCCTCTATTGAGTTGAAGTAGTATCTTGCTCTTGATATTATTGATTAATAAAAGTGTAGAAGAGAATTTCATATTTAGGTGTTTGTGAATAAGTTTCTTAACTTGATATCGTACGAGAGAAAAAATAAAAAACAAATTGAAGGAAAATTAAAATTTCCAAAATTTTAAATGTAAAAACTTCAAGAGAAAATGAAATACCTCATAATGAAAATATTAGTTCTCACATTATTAGAAATTACCGAGGGGTTTGAAAAGTTTTGTCAGGTTGATTTGGTTCATGTCAGGTTGATTTGGTTCAAGTAATTAGTAATGAGAATCCCCTTTGAATAATTCTCAAAATTATAAAAAAATTTACTAAATTGGTTGGTGGAGCAAAATATATTTTAAAGATGATTCTACATGCATATATTATGTCCAATTTATCATTAATTTTACCATTGAGTTATTTATTTAAGCTAAAGGGAGATAATATTAGAGAGAACTTTGACAAATGTACATAATATTTTTTTTAACTTCCATCCATGGTATTTTAAAGATTTTTTTTTATCTTCCATCCATATTATTTGAATGAGCTTATATAATTAAATTTAGGAACATTTACATGCATACTACAAAATTATATGTATTTGTATATCTAAAGCCTAAACTTCAATTTTTATAATTATAACACTTTTTTATATACAAGAAATTATGTATTTTACTCTTAAAAAGTAAGTGCTCATGATATTTTTGATGTGATGGAAAATATTTAAGTCATATAAATGTCAAAATTATAATTTAGACATTAGATATCTAAATAAATAGAAATTGTGTGGTATTTATATAAATGCCTCTTAAATTTGTGAAAGTTCAGTAAGGTAATGCCACTCTCTTTATTGAGCCTCATTTAAAGCAAGGTCATATTGATGGTTATTATTTATTATTAGAAATACAATTAAATTTTTAACCACATAGAAAATATTTTACTTATTATAAGATTTATCATATTTAAGTTTATTTTACTTTCTTATAAAATATTTTCTTTAAATATAAAGTATTTGATTATGATATATAAATTTATTAATGATGCATCACTATAAATCTAACTGGTCAAGCACAAATATTGACAGAAGCATTTGAATTAGAAGTATATGAAATCAAATTTGATATCATATGAACTCTACTTTTAATAACTATATAGTTAAAACAGACTTCTTGATGAGATAAATCTAAAGAGCCTAAGAGTGCTCAATTTTAATTTCGTTAAGTTACTTGAATGCAAAGATGACATTAAATGATCAAGAGAAATCATTTTAAAACTTTTGGCGGCGTGTTTAGAATTTTATCAAAATAAACCTAAATATCTCTTGTATGTTTATAAATAAGCTTTCATTCTACATGTAAAAAAGAGCAATGAGCAATGAAAGTTTGAAAGTTTGAAAGTTTTTATAAGTTCTATCCACCAATTAATGCCACTGATGGCTTGTTATCAATCCAATAACTATTAATGTATGTCTTCAGCTGATTTTCATCGCTTTTCTAACACCGTCATCTTCTGATAACTGATGTCACAATTTATAATTACTAAACTACCTTTACTTACCTCTGCTAATGTTGACGATCACCATCACCAAATTATCTTCACCAATCATCAACACACACAAGAGCTCTTCATCTCTCATTTCTTTGTAATCATGTTTTTTTTTTCTTATTAAAGCAAGGGATAATTTTTTGTAATATTCATCTCACATAATTATACTAGAACTTCTTATGACCTATGTTTATTTGTGTGTATAAATCTTTATGTGATTGTAAGATAAAGAATTCAAACTTTTTTTTTATTATAAAGGTGTTAGAATGAAACAATAGATATCATTGATTTAGTACAAATTATTAGGAAAAATTTTGAGTCAGAATATTTGATTTAAATTTCATGTAAATTTTATATCCATTGAATTTTCTTTCATATTAAGGCTATTCAAAAAAACTCATAGTTCTTGTTTTATTGATTTTTGCTAGGTAGCTTGAATTCAAC